TTGATGATAGTTGGCGCAATTTAAATAATCAACACACGTTGAGTTGAATGTGCCATGTTAATCTATTATTAAAAAAAAAAATAAAAAGAGAAAATTGGTGAATTAATTTTTAAAGTGTATGAGTCTAAATTTTTATCATTTATTTTTAATTAGTATTTTTTTAGCAAATATAATTATTTAACTAAAAATAATATTAATTAAAAGTAAATAATAAAAATCAATATTTATACACTTTAAAGAGTGTTTCTCCTTTTAACAAAAAGAAAAAAGAATAACATATTCCTCAATATATGGGTTTCAATTGTGGGCCGTGCTTCTGTAAAATGGAATCATTTGACGAAGGAAAAGCTAAAGGAATGCCTTCTAATTAGGAGCATAAACATTTGTGCTCTTTTCTTTTTTAAAGTACTGTGAGATATAAGATAAGAATTTCGTCCTCACTTTTCCTTTTTATACATGATCCTACATTGCACAACACAAAAGTGGTGAATTATTTTCTAATCTCCATGAACTTGTTAACACGGGTTCTTTTTTTTTTTCTTTTTTGGCACTTGAAACTTTAATGACCAAGGCCTAATTATGATGGCCCTTGTTTATTCACGCGGAGCAGCATTTTAGGCAGTAGTGTTCAAATACATATATTAAATATAATGAATTTTGTCGACAAAAAATTATTTGCATATTAACATTAGTTAGGTGCTTTACTAAGATGTTATTTACATCAAGATAACTGACTACACAATCTTAAACATCAGTACTCAACAATACAATAAACTAACAAGCAAGCAAAACCAGAACATCACCTTTTCAAAAAGAACCAAAAAATCATGAAATTTCTGGTCAAATATATTCAGGAGAGAACTGAACTGCCTAAACAAATGACAAAAACGAGTTATACGTTATTGTCTTCAACTTTGTCAAACTACAATCCAAATTTGAGTTAGACAAGGAAAAAACAAAAGAGCATTATTGAGGGGAAAAAATTTCTCACCATCTTTTGAACTTTGCACTCTCAAGCAAGAAACAACCAAATTGGATGGAAGCTGCGTTTTGAAGCAAACAATAACTACAATTTAGTTAATTATTAAAAAAAAAAAAAAAAACCGACAATTTAGATGACCACGTATTCTTCCTCTTCAAAACCTTGTCATCCATAAATTCCTTGGTAAAACAAGCTTTTTTCCCACCTTTTCTAAAAAATAACTCAAATTTTTCATTTTTTAGAAAGATGACCGAACTTCTTTTCTTAGGAAAATTACCATTTTTATATAGTAATTAATCAGTAATAAGTTAAAGTTAATAAAAAAACAACAATTTCCCTAATTTTGAAAAACTTCAACCATTTACTAAGAAATCCCTAAAAAAGTGCCATTTACCCCTAAATCCGGAGAAAGATTTATGTAAATTTGAAAACTTTCAACCGTCACGTTTTGATCCTCGTTTTGCTATAGTTTCAATATTATTTCATTTTGGTTCCTTTTGACCATGTCGCAAACCTAACTCAACATAAGTAGCGGAAGTTCAATATAACTTTTGTGTCGTGTGGAAATCTTGTGCAGCCATCGTCACTCTGCGCCAAAAGAGATTGTTAAATTGTTAAAGGTGCTGAAATGGTTAGTGGAAAAGTTGGGGTTATAATTACGTTTTTTAAGGCTTGGAAAGTTGGGATAGTGTTGTGTTCTCAGAATAAAGTTGGGCTAATGTGATAAGTGATAACCATGATTGGTTTTTATAAATTAAAAAAAAAAAAAAAGTGTTTCTTCGATAAGACTAAAAATAAATAAAATATTGATAATTATCTAATTTCAGTCGACAAATTTATGTTAGTAATTATTTGTTTTATTTTTTTATAATTTAATATAATTTTAATCAGACTCTATGATTAGAAATTAATTCTATTGATAGAGAAGCTTTTATCGAGAAAACTGCCCTTAAAAAAATACATTATCCGTTTTTGTTTTTCTAATAGCATAATCCTACTGATAGTGTCAGTTTTTGACCGTTTAATCAGGTCAAAAAGATTTTTTTTTGAAGAAGGTCAAAAGGAATTTCCAAAGCCCTTAAGCTTCAAACAAATTACAACAGACTAAAAAAATATACAAAACATATAATTTTTTAATATAAATATGACGATTAAAAATAAAAAATTACTGTAATTTATTTTTTAGTCTTACTAAAAAAAGCTCCCTTAAAAAAATGAAATAGAAAAAGTTGTGCAGTGTTTTATTGTTCTTCTCATTATCAAAGAAAGGACAGACATTTTTTTCTTTTTCAAAAAGAAAATTACCTGTGCAGTCCTTTTATTGTTCTTCTCATTATCAGAGAAATAGCATAGACATTTTTTTTTTCCTAGAAGAAAATTACCTGCGGCCCCCTTTGTGGTCATGGATTGCTAAAAAAGAAATACGTGTGTGTTTATTTTGAGTATAATAAAAAAATGAAATTGTATTTATTAATTAATCTATTATAATATTATTGATAAGTACTAAAAAATGAAAATAAAAAAGTGAAAATAACTTTCAACTGTTTTCTAATTCCTTCACAAAAATCATTTTCACTATTTTCGTTTTTAAAACATTTGCTAAACAAAACGTCGTTTCGTTTTCATTTTCATTTTTTACTTTTCAAAACACGTGAAAACCATTTTTAAAAGCGGTTCTAAAGACGCACATAATTTTTTGATATACTGCACAAAAGTATCTTTTTAATGTCGCACACTTCTAGACTAATTTTTCTTTCTTTTTAGGCGAATCTAGATCGTTAATTTTAACAAAATTTCTTCAAAATTTCAATTTAATCTGGATACACATTCTCTATAAAATTGATCAAAGGTTTGATTAGAAAAAGGGAGTTTTTTATGATTTAGTTTCTCTTGAGTAGGCTTAGTTTTTAACTGTTGCATATAATTAAAATCATATCAGATTAAAAAAGCAAAACAAACGGTTTTTTATACATATTTAACAGTTGAAAACAATAATTTTTCGGTAAATTCAATTGTAAAACTTAGGAGAGAAACTCCTTTAGAAAAATTGTTCAAAATGCTTCTGAAATTGTAGAATCTAATGATAAATTACAAAAAAAACCTTTAGTAGATTCCGAGGTGGAACTCCTCAAATCTAGTATGTCCAGCGTAGAAAGTGAAAACCGCAAGTGGATTCACCTAAATAGTTACTCACTTGTAGAGCTCAAACCTCTTTTGGCCCTTTTTTTTTTATAAAATCATTTTAGTATATTTTGTGATTGTAAAATATGTTCTTGATATTCTGTGTTTTTTATAATACTAAAACGGTACCTCAATATTTTTAAAAATATATTTTTAATACCTTAAAGCTAATTTTTAAGACATGTAATTTCTAAACTACTATTATTGTTAATTAAATAGAAATCAATATTTAAAAAAAAATCTGAAAATATTTAAAAAAAACAACAAAATAAAAAAGGTAATCATTTTTTTTTCTAATTTATTAATTTTTAGTTAATTAAATAAAAGGGTATTAAAGTCATTTTATGTCTCAAAAATTAATTTTAAAGTACTAAAAAGATATTTTTAAAAATGATAATACATTATTTTAATATTATCAAAAACACAAAATAATAAAAATATATTTCATTATAATACATGATATTAAAATGATTTTATTTATTTATTTATTTTGTTAGCCGCAGTTGGAACCCATGAAATTGTAATTGCCATTCCATATCCTTTTCATGGATTTTTTTTTTTTTTTGGAAGGATTTACGGATCTTGTTTTGTACATGAAAAATTATTAGTTCGAGTGCAACCGATGAGAAGGACAAAAAAACGACGAGTCTTACCAAACTTTTCTCTCTGTTTTTTTTGTTTTTTTTGAATAATTGTTGTTCTTTAAAAGAAGAAGAATAATAATAATAATAGTGAGATACGACCAAATCCTGGCCCACCAAGAAAGTTTTCAATCATCGTCATGTTTTCGTTATGAAATGTTGCAAAATAAATAAATAAAAAAGCAAGCGCATGCAAGTACTAAGCATCCCTTATGTCCAAAGCAATGTCCGTGCGGTAACTTTTTTTAAATGATTTTATTTTTATATAAAAATAAAAATAAGATTATTTTAAGAATTATTTTAAAATTACGTTTAATTAATTTTTTAAAAGATTATTTTGAGTATAATAAAAAAATAAAAACGTGTTTGGTTATAATTATTGATTAATATATTATAACATTGTTAATAAGTATTAAAAAATAAAAATAGAAAAGAAAAAATAACTTTTAATCGTTTTCTAATTTATTCACAAAAATTAAACTCATTGGGTGCGTTTAGAATTGATTTTCAAAATGATTTTATTTTCAATTAAAAGTAAAAATGTGATTGTTTTGAGAATCATTCTGAAACCGATTCTGAAATTGCATTTGGTCAGTTTTTTTAAGAGATTATTTTGAGTATAATAAAAAAGTAAAATCGTGTTTATTAATTAATATATTATAATATTATTGATAAATACTAAAAAAATAAAAACATAAAAATGAAAATAACTTTCATCTGTTTTCTAATTCCTCATATAAATCATTCTCACTATTTTTGTTTTTAAAATATTTACTAAATAAACGTCGTTTCATTTTCATTTTTAATTTTTACTTCTCGAAATATGTAAAAACTATTTTTAAAAACGGTTTCAAACATACACGCTACTTTTTATTTTCATTTTCATTTTCAAAATATTTACTAAATAAACACAATTTATAAACTGTTTTCTTTTTCACGTTTTAAAAGACGTGAATAAATATTTATAAAAATAATTTAAAATTAATTCTAAATGCACTTATCAGTGATCTTTCATTTCCATGAAAGTAATGATTTGCACTTTGATTTTTTTTAAAAGTAATGTACACTTTTTTGGAGAATGGCATTTCAAAATGGTTGGTAAGAGTGGAAAATGCTTACTTGTAAGAGGAGTAGCCACAGTCCAATTACCATATTTCTTTTCTAGTCCTCAAGGGAAGGAAAAATAAATTTCGTCGTCGGAGATTTTTGCAATGTCTCGTCGGAAAGAAGATAATGAAGAAGCTCTGAAATGGGCAGCTATAGAGAGATTGCCCACACATTTACGTATAAGAAGAGGCTTACTAGTTGAGTCAGATGGTAAAGCTAGAGAAATTGATGTGAAAAATCTTGGGTTATTAGAGAGGAAGACCCTTATTGAGAGACTCGTCAAAACTGCTGAAAAAGATAATGAGAAGTTCTTGTTGAAGCTCAAGGACCGTACTTTTTTTTTTTTTTTTTTTTTTTTTTCCTTTCTTTTTTTTCCCCTTATAAACTATGTACGATATTTTCAAGTGGATTTATTAATGTTATTTATGATGGTCTTGCAAATTTAAACACCAAAAAAATAAAAGGGTTGGACTTGACATCCCAACAATTGAAGTTCGTTTTGAGCATTTGGATGTGGAGGCAGAAGTTTATGTTGGAAGCAGAGCTTTACCAACTATATTGAACTTCTTAGTCAACATATTTGAGGTAATTAATTGATCATATTCTACATCACATAAAACATACATACATGTATATGATATATAGTTGTACCATATCTGTTTGTGTGTATATTTTCTTACTTCACATCTCTTGTTCCCTCTTTCACTAGGGAATCTTAAATAATCTTCATATTCTTCCAACTAGAAAGGTCCCATTACAGATCCTTCAAGATGTTAGTGGTATCATCAGACCTCAAAGGTGATTTTGATTTAGTATTTATGAAATATGAATTGTGACCCTGAAACGTTCTGATTTCTCACTTTGTGCAAGTCTTGCAGACTTACATTACTTTTAGGTCCCCCAAGCTCTGGAAAATCCACATTACTAAAGGCTTTGGCTGGAAGACTTGATAAAGATTTGAAAGTAATTTTATACATACATATGTATACATATAGATACATAGATACTCTATATTCTGGGTTTCCATATCAATATTCTGACATGAATATGGCTGCTGATCAAACTCAAGTTTGGTGGGAGAATTACATACAATGGACATGGAATGGAGGAGTTTGTTCCACAGAAGACATCAGCTTATGTAAGTCAGTATGATCTTCACATAGGAGAAATGACTGTTAGAGAAACACTGGCTTTTTCAGCAAGATGCCAAGGAGTTGGGCCCCATTATGGTCAGTCCAAAAACACCATGAGCTTGATGCATGTAAAGTTTTTTTTTTTTTTTTTTTTCTTCCAAAAGTTCTATAGAAGGCACTTAGTCTTTTGTTCCCTTCCAAATATGAAACAATTTGCAGAGATGTTGGCAGAGTTGTCGAGAAGAGAAAAGGCCGCGAATATCAAACCCGATCCTGACCTTGATATCTACATGAAGGTAAAATAGAGATAAATATAAAAACCTCCCATGTGATTTCTCGAAATGTTGCGTTTCACCTAATATTTTCAGGAATGTTGCATTAAACCCCTGACTCCTATACAGGCAGCATCATTAGAAGGGCAGGAGATCAGTATACTTACTGATTATATCATCAAGGTAAATACATCATTTAATTGAGCAAGAAATAAAACTCTTCAGCGTAAAATTCTGCGAGATCTCATAAAAAAACTGCAGATTTTGGGACTTGAAAATTGTGCTGATACAATGGTTGGAGATGCATTGGTTAGAGGTATCTCTGGTGGGGAAAGAAAGCGAGTCACAACAGGTAAGACATAGAATAAAAAGCACATTGTCTTCTCTTTGAGTACTCTTGAATTGTCAAAATATTCTTTGAATTTTGCACCTATGCTTTTGGATTTTAATCTTGTGTTATTTTTGATCATTTATGTCACAGGGGAGATACTTGTTGGGCCTGCAAGAGCTCTGTTCATGGACGAAATATCGACCGGTTTGGACAGTTCGACGACTTTCCAGATTGTAGACTCCATAAGGCAATCCATTCACATCCTAAAGGGAACTGCAATTATCTCTCTCCTCCAGCCAGCCCCTGAAACCTATGAACTTTTTGATTACATAATTCTTCTATCAGAAGGACAAATTGTTTACCAAGGACCGCGTGAAAATGTCCTCGAGTTTTTCGAATTCATGGGATTCAAATGTCCTGAGAGGAAAGCAGTAGCTGACTTCCTACAAGAAGTAAATTTTAGTTCTTTAATTAATGTATTTTACAGTATGTTTCATTAGCTCTAATAAAACATAAAAAGTTTCTCCCATTATAGGTTACATCAAGGAAAGATCAAGAGCAATATTGGGAGCATAAAGATGAGCCTTATAGCTTTGTTCCTGTCAATGAATTTGCAGAAGCATTTCAGTCATTTCACATCGGTCGAAAACTAGGAGATGAGCTTGCAACTCCATATGACAAATCCAAAAGCCACCCAACTTCTTTAACAACCAAGAAATTTGGTTCAACCAAGGAGTTATTTAGAGCTTGTTTATCCAGAGAATTCTTGCTTATGAAGAGGAACTCATTTGCCTACATTTTCAAATCATTCATGGTGGGTAGTTCTCAACTACTTATGCCTTGTTTGATTAGTCATTTAAGGCCTCAATAATGTTAGAAAAAATTAGAAAATGTACCCCTTAATGTACTTACCTCATTTTTTTTTTTGGGGGCAATTCATTCGGAATTCTTCCCTTCTTAGTTAATGTAATATTATATAAAGCGAGAAAGTGGGTGCAGAAATCTTATAATGTTTAACAAAAAAAAATATGTACTCTCTTCCAAGTATTCCTCTAAATTTCCTGTAAAAATTATCTCCAGCCCACCTTCCTAATAGCTTGAGCTTTCAGGATAATTGGTATACTACATAGTATTAAAACAGGAGATCCTAAACTCAAATTTCCGTGATTAATTACACTCTTCAAGTTATAATCACGTGTCGGACTTTTAATACTCTTAAATTCTTTTTTTTTTTTTTTGCAGCTTATTCTCCTAGCTTCTACAACAATGACAATTTTTCTAAGGACAAAGATGCGCCGAGATACGGTTGTGGATGGTGTGGTTTATATGGGTGCTCTATACTTTGGTGTGATTGTAGCAATGTTCAATGGAATATCAGAACTCAATTTGGCCATCATGAAACTTCCCATCTATTACAAGCAAAGAGACCTTCTCTTCCATCCTTCATGGGCATATTCTGTTTCCACATGGATCCTTAAGATCCCGATATCCACTGTAGAAGCTGCCATTTGGGTGTTCATGACTTATTTTGTCATCGGCTTTGATCCAAGTGTTGAAAGGTAAATCAAAGTGAGAAAAAAAAATCAAGTTATTTTAAGTTTTGCATACTTGGTTAAGGATTTGATGAAAACGATAATCTTGCAGGTTTTTTAAGCAGTTCTTGATCATACTATGCATCAACCAGATGGCATCAGGTTTATTCCGGTTGATTGCGTCAGTAGGGAGAGACGTTATTGTGGCCAACACATTTGGGTCATTTGTTCTGCTTCTAGTTATGGTTTTAGGTGGATTTATATTGTCTCGAGGTGAATAACTTATAACAAAGTTTGATTTTTGATTTTTTTTTTTTTTGATGTAGCAATGCTATATAGGATCATGGTAAGAGCATTTCTAACGCAATGTTGTTTTTGGTATTAGATTTGACATTCGTTATACTTGATGCGTAATTTGACACCACGTATAGCATATCCCATAAATGATATTTTACTGCTTTGGTTGATGTATTTACGTTTTCAATAATCTTACATTTGGCATTTTAAAATTATTTTGAAGCTAAAAGTTCATTTATACTAATTTTAAAGTTTAATAATTATGGCAAAAATTAAATATAGCATTTGAAATTGCATTATGCCTCAAGTAAAAAAATAGAACAGCATATTAAATATGTCATTTTCACATTTTTTTTAGTGCTAAATATAACATTGACATTTACAAGGTTTATATGTCAACTATGAAACTCATAGAATGATATTTATTTTATTTCTCTTAATGTGGTTTTTAATTGCTTGATAATTGATATACTCTGATTCTTTTCAGAGGATATAACAAAGTGGTTGTTGTGGGGTTATTGGGTCTCGCCGCTGATGTACGGACAGAATGCTATAGCCGTGAACGAATTTCTTGGGAAAAGTTGGAGACATGTAATCATCATCCTTCTTGAAATTTTGACAACAATTGTTGAGCAAACGAATTAATTATGTGAAATACTTCTTTCTTTTTTTTTTTTTTTTTTTTTGCATGTTATAGGTTCCACCTAATTCCACAGAACCATTGGGAGTTTTGGTATTGAAGTCTCGTGGGTTTTTTCCGGATCCAAATTGGTATTGGATTGGAGTAGTAGCTTTGATTGGATACATTTTTCTATTCAACTTTCTCGTCACTTTGGCACTAAAATATCTTGATCGTAAGAATGATATTAAACTTTCGATTGAATTGATAAATTGCTCCCTGAACTTTTGATTGTGGCAAAGCTTTAATAAAATGTTGCGGAGTTCTACCAAATTGATGAATAATATTAAAATTTAAAAGAAGATATACTCATGCACGTGATATGACGTGTCTGATCATCATCTGAAATTTCATTCTCATATTTCAAAGAAGATCAGGTATGGTGTAGGAGTTCACCGATATATGGGCACCCTGCAACATTTTGTTAAACTCGGGATAATTAGCCAAACTAAAAGTTTAAAGGTGATTTGCCAGTTATGAAAAGTTCAAGGGCAGATGTGTCAAATTTTACATTTCTATATGTTATAAGCGTTAAATCTCAGGTGAACTTGTTCTGATATTAGAACAATTGTTGCAGCATTTGGCAAGCCTCAGGCAGTGCTATCAGAAGAGAGCTTGGCAGAGAGAAATGTCAACAGAACTGGAGGAGCCTCCATTGAGCAATCTTTAAGAGCAAAGAACCCTTTTGGTGGGCCATTCAATTCCCAAATTTACGTGTATCTGTAACTTCTGATATTATTTACTTCATGGCATTTTGACTACTTACTTCTATCTATAAGATATTATGAATGCTGCAGCTGAAAGCAACAATGAAGGTCAAAACATTGCATCAGTTGGGTCATCATCTGCAAGAGTATTGTGCAGAGCTGGTAATGGTTCTAACGAAAGATTGCGCGGAATGATTCTTCCTTTTCAACCCCTTTCCATCTCTTTTGATGAAATCAGATATGCTGTAGACATGCCTCAGGTAACTTTGTTTTTTTTTTCTTTTTTTTTTTTTTGAGTTTAATATAGAGGCATTATTCTCTACTATGAGTAACTTAAAGATATCTTGTTAAGGCAATTATGCATTTTCTTTAGTGAAAAAATGCTAGCATATATCTTGATTCTTACACTAGTTGACTGAAAATCAGTACATTGTTACTGTGTTCAATTTCAGATTCTAATTAAGCTTTGGTTGTAGGCAATGAAAGCGCGCGGAATCACTGAACAGCGTCTCGAACTTTTGAAGGGCGTGAGCGGCAGTTTTAGGCCCGGAGTTCTAACAGCTCTAATGGGTGTCACTGGTGCTGGAAAGACTACCTTAATGGATGTATTGGCTGGAAGAAAAACAGGAGGATATATTGAAGGAAGCATTACGATATCTGGGCACCCGAAAAAACAAGAAACATTTGCTCGCATATCTGGATATTGTGAGCAAACAGATATCCATTCTCCTCATGTTACAGTTTATGAATCTTTGCTTTACTCTGCTTGGCTTAGATTACCTCCTGATGTTGATTCTTCAACCAGAAAGGTATGTCACTTTGACCCCTTTTTTCCCCTTATTTTCGAACAAGTTATTGGATAAAGAGAAATGATCAGTGGAATGTTGCAGATGTTCATTGAAGAAGTGATGGAACTTGTGGAGCTGACCTCCTTGAGGGGAGCACTTGTTGGATTAGCCGGCGTGGATGGCCTTTCAACTGAGCAGCGGAAAAGGCTGACTATTGCGGTCGAGCTTGTTGCCAATCCATCCATAATATTCACGGATGAACCCACCTCCGGTCTAGATGCCAGAGCAGCGGCAATAGTAATGAGGACGGTGAGGAACACGGCGGACACAGGACGGACTGTAGTTTGCACCATCCACCAGCCAAGCATAGATATATTTGATGCGTTTGATGAGGTTAGAGAACTCTCATCTTAACCTAATTTTAGAAGAATGAATTAATCATAGAATTGATTACTAAATACTATATTGCAATTTTTTCTACTGCATTGTGTTGTTATGCATCACAGCTACTTCTTCTAAAATTAGGAGGTGAGCAAATATATGCTGGTCCATTAGGCCGCCATTCCTCCGATCTCGTCAGCTATTTTGAGGTCAGAACCATTCTTGATAAAGGAGATTAGGCATTATTTCCCTAATTCTTCCTTAAGAACTAACATAAACTAAGTATAAATGTTTCCTTCGTCAAGGCAATCGATGGAGTTCCTAAGATTAGGGAAGGCTATAACCCTGCAACTTGGATGTTGGAGATAACTTCACCAGCACAAGAAGCTGCTCTTGGGGTTAGTTTCACAGATATTTACAAGAACTCAGACCTCTACAAGTAAATCTTCTCTAACTCCTTTATCAAGATTAGCTGAACAAACAATTTTCATGAGTTTTGGTGACAATTTTTTAATTAATATTTAAACTCATGAGTGAGAATGTTGTAATCCTTTAGGAGGAACAAGGCACTGATCAAGGAACTTAGTACACCTACACCAGGTTCTAAAGATCTGTACTTTCCAACCAAGTACTCGCAGCCTTTCTTCACCCAATGTATGGCTTGCTTATGGAAACAACACTGGTCATATTGGCGAAACCCACCCTATAGTGCCATCAAACTCTTGTTCACAGCTGCCATCGCACTACTGTTTGGAATGGCATTTTGGGATCTTGGCTCTAAAAGGTAAACTCTTAGAGGACATGTCCAAAGTAATGGCTTTTGTAGGAATTCTTAGGTAAAGTATGTGCGGACTTTGTCTAAAACTTAATCAGACGTTCAGAAATGTGAAAGAGCAATAGAGATTTCCTTAATTCGATACGGTTTTTGAAGTTTTTACTTTTTAGTTACATGTTAGAAACTCTTTTCGAAACCGCAGGAGAAAGCAACAAGATCTCTTCAACGCAGTGGGTTCCATGTACGCTTCTGTCTGCTTCATTGGGGTGAAAAATGGCTCCTCCATTCAGCCAGTGGTGGCTATTGAGAGAACCGTCTTCTACAGAGAAAGAGCAGCCCGCATGTATTCTGCTCTGCCCTATGCATTCGCGCAGGTAATTTACTTGTGTTGGCACCACAAATAAAAAAGCCAAACAAGGAAAACTTTATCCGACAAAAAATACCATGTGTGCTTCTGTTACTAGTCAAAATACCAGTAGCGACGACAACCAACACATGGTTTTAATGTGTTGCAGATGGCAGTTGAGCTTCCCTACATTTTGATACAGAGCTTGATATATGGGATTCTGGTATATTCAATGATGGGATTCGAGTGGACAGTTTCCAAGTTCTTCTGGTTCATCTTCTTCATGTATTGCACAAACTTATACTTCACATTCTATGGGATGATGATCATGGCCGTTAGCCCCAACCACCATGTCGCCGCCATCTCTTCCTCCGCCTTTTATGCACTTTGGAATCTCTTCTCTGGATTTGTCGTCCCTTTAACAGTAAGTCCAAGCCTTGTATTTGTGTGCATTGAAATTTCTATATGCCATGAACACACACCATTACGTAGTAACCGAGGCCTGCGTTTGTGTGACAGAGAATTCCAATATGGTGGAGATGGTTCTATTGGAGTTGCCCCGTGGCTTGGACCTTGTACGGATTAGTTGCGTCGCAGTTTGGAGACGTGAAGGAGACTCTAGAGACGGGTGAGACGGTGGAAGCTTTTGTGAGGACTTATTTTGGATTCAAACACGACTTTCTAGGAGTTGTTGCAGTTGTGATTGTTGGGATTCCTCTGCTCTTCGGATTCATTTTTGCCTATTCAATTAAGACTTTGAACTTCCAAATAAGATGAAAGAAGAGTATTGAGAAGATCTCGCTAAGGCAATGCAATGGCTGCGTTGGAAAAAAAAAAAAAAAAAAAGTGCTCTAAAGTGGGGTTGATTTGCCAATGAAATTCCCAGTCTTGAAGAGGTGGCGAGATTCTTGACGCTGTTATTCAAATGTACTCAAATTGATGAATAAATAGTTACTTCTTTATTTATACAGATTTTTTGTAACAGATTGTTGTTCTTAAGGTCAACCTCCATGACAGCGTATCTGAATATGTAGTTTTAAGCAACATCCCCATATTAATAATAAGAGACAGACGTGTATATTGCAAAGCAAACAGGGGAAAAAAAAAAGTCAATTCGTTTATCATATATTATAAGGGTGCGTTTAGTAGATGGATATAGAATCATGATTCAGAATTTGATGTGATGTTTTAAACTAGTTCAAATCATAATTTTAAAACTCCAAAATCATGATTCAGAATTAGTGTTTGATTTAAATAATTTTGAATCATGATTCAGAATCTGATGTGATGTTTTAAACTAGTTCAAATCATAATTTTAAAACTCCAAAATCATGATTCAGAATTAGTGTTTGATTTAAATAATTTTGAATCATGATTCAGAATCTGATGTGATGTTTTAAACTAGCTTAAATCATGATTCCAAAATCACCACCCCTCCTAATTTGAGGTGATTTAAACTCTTGATTCTGAATCATAGTTTTAAAATCATGATTTGAACTCAAAATCATGACTCATGATTATGATTCTAAAATCATGATTAGAATTACCATAGTTTGAATCCTCATACTAAATGAATCCTAAGTTATTAATTGATAAACTCAAATTCGTTCATTTCATCTATTCAAATTTTTAATTTTAATTTTATCACAGTTAAAAACTCTTACAAAAAATCACATCTAACTTTTTTTTACTACAATTAAAATCTCACATAAAATCACACCTCAACGAGCATATTTCCTACAGAACAACTTTGTAGCAAGTTGATGCCCGTTTTCAAACTACATTTATTTTGCTTTATTTACTGCAATGATGCTTCTCTCTTTTTTTTAAGCATGAAACGTTACTTTTACATATCTGTTACTTACAGTGCGCTGTTCAACATCAACATTAAATTAAAAAAAAAAATGAAGTATCTTACGTTGCGTCTACAAACAAGAAAAACCAGAACATCATCTTTTCAAAGATAAAAGCAATGAAAATATCATGAAATATCTGATTAAATAATTCAGAACGTGAGCTGCCTAAACAAATGCCAGAACAAGTTAATTAAGCTAACGACGAAACAATTGATAATGTATCCCGCCTTGACCGCCGCATATGTTACAGTTGGAACTCAAGATTCTCTCTCAAATTGTCAAACTAGAATAGAAATTTAAGTTAGGAAAAAAGAAAAGCATAATTAAGGGGAAAAATTCGTCACCGTCTTTAGTTTCCCAAGCTATCCAAGCAGCTTTGCAACTCCCTCAAGCCTTCAGCAGAAAAGCTCCTTTGCACTCTTGGGCGAGGGGCAACCAAATTGCGTGGAGGTTGCGCTTGGAAGCAAACGACAACAGCAGCTAAGTTATCACCACTTTTCCTCTTCAAAGCCTCATCAACCAAATCCTTGCTACACATAGCCGGATCATTGTGCTCCTGAAGCTTGCGCCGAGCAAAATCAATGGCATTCTGGCTTCTAAACACGTCCCAGATCCCATCACATCCAATGATGAGAAATTCATCTTCCTCTGTCAGTTTTGTAGTCATAAACTCCGGTTCCGCGCTCAGTGGTCCACTATCCCTGTCCTTCATTCCTTCCATATGCCAGTCTCCTAAAGCGCGAGCTACATTGAGCTGTCCATTAAGATAACCATCATAGACATATCCACCTGATGCCTCAATGCGCTTCTTCTCTTTGCAGCAGATTGGTTTGTGATCCCTTGACATTTCAATTGCTTTACCACGACGGCACAACACTGCTCGACAATCTCCGGCATTTGCTACCACTAACTGCCTGCCATCAGAAAGAGTGAGATAAAGATCAGTCTAATCTGACGGACCTCAATCATTTTAAGAAGAGACTTCATAGGACAAAAGCTCATAAGCCAACTTAGCAACACAGGACTCCATCTCAGCGAAGTTTTACCATCACCAAAAGCATCATATCCATAAACGAACTAAGAATTCTGTTTTGATGTGCAATTTGTTGACACGCATACAAATTATCACACAGTACGAAGCGCCTATGGATATTTGAAGGTAAAGAAATCTACCTTCCAACGACTAGAGCTGCCAAGGCAGTGGTGCCTGAAGCAAGGGCAGCATCCAAGGAGCAAGCTTCTGCAAAAGCAAGATCAGTTTGCAGAAATGCTGAAGCAACAACTTTTTCTATATCTCTTGGGAAGTCTCCATCCTTAACAATAAAGTTCGGCAAATTGTAGCAAGCAAAGTCAGCTGCATGCTTTCCTCCATGTCCATCAAAAACCTGGACCAACAATAACAATATACTAAAAGGTATCTATAACGTCAGAACTCAACCAAATCTATAATTGACCCTTGTTGCAAAACAAGAACTTTTAATGGAAACTTCATACCACAAAACTTAGAGAGAAAAATGAGGGAGAAAAAGAAAATTTGTCTCGGAGTAATAAGTAGAACACTAATGATATCATCATTCCCCACTCCACAAATATGTCATCTATACACACTTCCCTACAAGTTTGTGGAGTTGTAATACAATGTCAAAGAAAGAAGACATACCCCATAAAATGCATTGGGCCCATCAGGTAAATCCTTCAGGCCATAAGCGTGCATGAAATTGTCAACACAAACATAAACATCTTCCATGCTTTTACGAAACCCGATGTCAGTCCACGCTCCAGAGCGGACAATTGGAACAAACTGAGCCTGACAATCCTCCACGCCAATTCCAGCTTCCGCAGAAACATTGGACGGTTTTGTCTTCATCTGCTAAAATTAATTCAGTTTCGATTACATATATATGAAAAAACCAGAAAATTCAACCTAGGAAAAACGTTCTATAAGCAAATCTCCTGCACCCCAGAAAACAGCACTGCTTATAGAAATCAGATAAACTCAATAATGCCAAACAAGAAGAGGGATTTGCAAGCATTACAGAAAACTATCTCGGCGCATCAGCATATAAAGGTGCTTGAAAATATAGCAACAAAAGAATCTGAAACCTCAACTGAATATAAGAAACGATCTATCATACACATGTAACATGTTTAGAGGGAAAAAAAATGTAACATATTTGAAGTTTAATAGTTCTTAAGAGTCTTGACAAGAGAAACGCTTGTATCTTCAAACTTCCCCATATGCAAGTAATATTATTTCACACGAAAAAGTCTAATAGACTTGTGAATTCCAATGGCTACAGCACCAACCAACAGAGCAAACCAAAACTCCAGTTCTTTCCTTTTCTTTTTCTTTTTTTTTTTGGTAAATAAGGTAATTACGACACTAACCATTTTCACCAAAAAAAAAAATCCAAAAATTAGAAAACAGTTGGAAGTTAAAGAATCCCAAAAATAATCAAGCTAGCTATCATAAATTGCCGAAAAATCGAACCACAGAACAAACTTACGAGAGAGGGGTGTCGGACGAGCGACTTCTTTGGAGCCACCGCAACGGCGCCGGGGTCGGCTCCGGCGTCGGCGCACTGCCGATAAGCGGCGGCGAGAGGGTTGGGAGGTCGACCAACCACCTCGCTGGAGCTCCCATTTTCCACAGCACCGCTTGCTTTAGTTTCCTCCATTGTTCTCAACCATCACATCCTCCGAATCACAAAAACTCTCCACGGGACTTTCAGGGGTTGACTGGCGAGTTCGCTCAGCTGAAACTCAATACTCGATAGAATTGAAACAGTAAAATCGCCGGAAAAGGAATGGTCTTGCTGCACTTCAAGGAAAAAAAACGAAAAAGGAAAGAACTTTAGGTTTCGGAAGTACGGAACTCGGACGATACGAGCAGGGTAGACTCAATGAGTCGTGAATGAGTTAACTCGGATGGGAACAAAAAGTCAATGACGAGTTATAAGCATCGAAAATCGAGCCTTTTAGGGAAGGTCTGGGTTGGGGAATTAGGGCTTGAAAGTCCAGGGCGGGCTTTCTCCTTTTTTTTTTTTTTTTTTTTTTTAGAGAGAGAGAGAGAAATTAGGGTTTTGAGAAGGAAGCGAAATGGGAATGACGACTGACCTGTCTCTGTGATCTTAGTTAGACTTGAGAGGGAGATATTCTTTTCGGGTAGTTGGCGATCTATACGAGGGCATTGGTTTTTGCTGAAATACTGAGCTCAAAGTGGTCGGTTTCTACTTTTTTTTCAGGAAGAAAAAAAACAAAATAGAAAATAGAAAATATACTTCCCTAATAAGAAAGAATTAAATAAAAATAAGTTATTCTATAAAAAAGAATGGTTTCTTAATTTCAATGTTGTTTTATTTTCAGTTAAGTCTATATATATTAAAAATTATTTATTTTACATATAATGTGGTGTAATTTTGATAAAAACCAATAATCTCAAACTCAATTATAAAAATAAAAAAATAAATATTAAATAAAAATGGAGCTATGACTCTGACTCTCTGAGAGATATTTATATCGTCGTTTTATTTTTTTGCTTTTTTGAAAAAAAAAAATTATTTAAATAATATAGTTGTGGCATTTTCCTTTTTAATGCAAATGTTATAATTGCGTCTTTTTGACTAGGTAACGTGACGCAACCTTGCTTGCGACAAAAAAATCCCAAACACATATGAACGTGTTTGGTAAGCGTAAATGAATATAAATGCGTGAATTAATTCAATCAAAGTTTTTGAAGAAATAACAATGGGTCCCAAAATACCAAGTCTGCAGCGACCGAATTGTCTACCTCAGTGCCATGCAAGATGGTGAAGGGCACCACATATCTCCCTAGCTTTACTCTTATAATTACTACTGTAGGGTCGCCTTTTATTTTTTGGAATCATTAAAAACGTTATATCTTTCGATGAAAAGAATAAAAAAGTTGGGTTTGACTTCTTAAATATTTTTTTTTACTCAAGTCATATTACTATATTATTTTCTCTTATAAAAATTTAATTTTAATTTTTTTATTACAGTAATTTTTTTCTCACTACTATATTATTTTCTCTTATAAAAATTTAATTTTAATTTTTTTATTACAATAATTTTTCTCTCAAATACACAACTCAAGTCATGACTTGAATTGTGAACATATGCTTAGATCTTATAAATGAGTGTTTTTTTTTTTTTTGAAATAAAACTTATATCTCCAAAAACTTGCATTTAAACAAAAACATAGTAACAAACACAATAAAAGGTTAATGACCCAACCAGAGAACAGACGAACACCTGAGGCCCAAAAATGGGAGCATATCTTGGCACACTAAGATCGAGCACACCTACGGCTCTATTTGATAAAATTCCTCTCAGCAAGATAAGCTTTTGAGCGATGGAGGGACAAAACATCGTAGCACTAAGGCTACACCAAACACCGCCAAGACACCAGTCCAATGGATACAAAAATTTAAAGCAAAACAACAGGGTGAAAGCTCATGTTATTGTAGTAAAGAAAACACACCAAAAATAAAAATAAAATAAACACAAAATGGACCCCAAGACCCGCTATCAAACGACTCCGGTGAGGAGGCAATCGGTGAGAGCACCACCAGGAAAGGTATAGGACTTTGTAGGAGATACGGCGAGGTCGAAGCGTAAAACTGTAAGTGAAACTCACCCTCTGCAGCCGCCACGGGCAATCAAAAACATCACCTCCAAAAGAAGTCCATCGTCACACGAAACAAAACGCCAAGGGAGCATATTAGAAATAACAGTCCAAATGAGCGGCACCCCACTTTCAAACCATGTTAGATCTGCTCTAATGAAAGCCCCACACCACATACAGCCACCACTACGAGGAAGACGACGATGATGCGAATTCGGAGACCAAGTTTCAGAGCCGGAAGCCCAACAACACGCCCGAAAAATAGTGTTAAAATTCCGGCCAACTCATTCTCTCTTTTTCTCTTTTCTCGTTTCTCTCTAGGGCTGGCTGTTAGCTTTTCTGCTTGGATTCTTATAGGTATTTTCAATTTTCTAAAAAAAAAAAAAAATATTACATATTATACAGAATTTCATTTGAAGTGGGAGGATATCGTGTTATAGAATTGTATCTTTGAAACGCAATAATAATTTTTTTTCAAAAAAAAATATACACATTATTTTGTGCTTGGTTGAGAAAAATATATTTTCTTATAAAAGTATAATTTATTTAAAAGCTTTTTGACACCAAAAACGAACTCAACAAACGAGGAGACTATCTCTGCGACAATAAAATCACGATGACTATAACTCATGGCCCAAGCACAAAGACTATGAGCTCCATTGCACGATCTATGAAGAAGATTTATGAACCAAATATTGTAGCAATAATATTTACCTTAAAATTAAATGTATTGGGTAGATATTTCTGAAGTAGATCAATAAAAGTCGTCATTGTATTACAAATTTACTATTAATTAAAATTTTTGTATCCTAAATTTTACCCCTCCCAATATCTTAATATATACCTTAAATTAGCCTTCCATGATCTCATATAAAAACATGGTTAAAAAATACACAAAGGATTATTTTGCAATGTAAAGTGGTTTGGTAATCTCTCGTGGAATGTGTTTCTCTTTAGTTGTTAAATATGTTCATAATATAGCTACTTTGGTTGTTATATAGCCATCCTAGCAATCATAAGATGACTGTTTTATGAAGTTGTTGGTGCTTCGTGTAGTTTTGTTATTCGCAATTGTAACAAAGTTTTAACTATGATCTCTCTAAATTCTCATCAGTATTAATTGGAAGAGTTTCTGAATTATATTGTAAACATTGTAAGTACCGTGATAGCTTCTGTTTAATCTAATTAATCTAATCTTGAGTTTCATACTAAAAAATAGCTACAATTTCAGTGCTAATTTCATATTTATAGAATGTTAATTTCAATTTTCAACCGAAAAAAGAATTGAAACAAAAAATCCTACATTAATCCCATCACACTCATATTTTATTATCTATACTGTAACTTCATTCTATAATATATATATATATATATATACATATATTGTGAGAAAGCATTCATTATAGTAGTACCAACGACCAAGTAATTGTTTTTTATTACGGAACAAAAAAAGAAAAAAGAAAAAAAAAAACTATTACTTCTTTGACTTTGCATCTCATAGTAATCACAAACGTCAACTTCATTGAAAACTTTAGAACTTGATGAATGTCGCGGAAACTGTGGGTGTTTTATGAATTTTGCTTCTTATAATTATTTTTCAGAATTTCTCTATTGTTTTCTTTTTTTAAAATATCAATATTTTTTGTTTATCAGTTGTTAAATTTGTATTATTTTTTTAATTTAATTTAATTTTTAATAATATTTAATATAGATCCGATTAAGAAATAAGGAACACCAGTGTTTAAAAAAAACACAAAAAAAGTCCCTTATTTTTCTTAAGCTTAAAATATTTCAACAGGATATACAAAAGATACTTAAATGATATTATTTTTGACATGCAGATCTTTATTAATTCCGTTAATCAAGATTTTTTTTTGTTACAATTTTACTATACTTAGGCCCCGTTCATTTCGCTAATTCGAGTTTAGAATTCAAGTTTTGCTACAGTAAAAAGCTCTCACAAACAATCACATCTAACTTTTTTGCTACAGTAAAAAGCTCTCACATAAAATCACATCTCAACTCGAATTAAAAACTCGAATCAGCGAACTAAACGGGCTGTGTTCTTATGATATACAAATCTATTGAATTATACAATTAATTTATATGTATAGATATACATACTCTACAGTACTATAATTCTTCTTATTTTTCTAAAAATAGAAATAAACGACTAATAATTAATAACGTCAATGTGATGGAAGACATTAGAAGCAAAAAACGAGATCAATCGATTTGCAATAAGGACGATAAGTTAAAACACGACATCATATGTACGAACGACGGCGCTCAAAAACAACAGTAACTAACGTATGAGCAACAAAAAACGACATGCCCGTGAAAACAAAAAATAGAAAATGGTCAATCTGAAAAATGAAATCAACTAGTTGGAGCATCGACCCTACCTGGAGAAACAACAACAATAATCAAACGATATTGTATATATAAGAATAGATCGATTTAAAAGATTACTTAAACAATTGAACGACAAAACCTTTAAAGCGACGTTAACAGGTTAAAAGTAAAATTACACGGAGAAAAAAAAAAAAAAAGCAACTTCAAGATGCTCTTCAACTTCTTTGCCGTTTAGGTTTGTTGCTTTATCGATTGATGTGCTTTCTCATGCATACTGTGGTTTTTAGGTTATTCTCGTTCAACATTTTTTTGTGTCGTTTTCAGGTACGTCCTTTCCCACGTTTAATGTCGTGTTTGTGTTCTTTTGACAACTAATCTTCTTTTTACAACTAATGTTGTGTTTGTTGGGATATATGCCCATAATCAAATAAGATATAAATATTTTATTGATTATCAATGAAATGAGGAATTTTTTCAATATTATTTTGCATGCACGTGATGTTTTATAAATATCAAAATTCTTAGATTATTTTAGATGTAACTTTAAACATTGTATATAAGTGTTATATACAGAAGATAATGTTTGAAGTAAAATAATCTAAACTTGTCCATAATTATAAATTAAAGTTGGGATCTTTAATTTAAAATTACTAATGTGATTTATTACATTCTGAATGAAACAATCTTATCCTAGATTGTTAATAATGAGATTATTAGAATGAAAGCATTTTATGTAATATGATTGCATAGGACCGGAACGCGATTAATTATGAGTCTCTAATAAATTTCGTTATTAAATAGAGTATTCAATATTAATCAATGATGGTCATATATGAATTAATCTTAATTCTGAGTAATTAATAGACTCCTATTTATGATATTATGTTCTTTGACATATTGAGTAATGACACATGTGAATAGTGTCAAAGTCTTGGTATATTGGGAGCATAGTAAAATAAATAGCCAGAAATATTAAATTACAAGATGAAATCCATTCTTTCGTAATAAAGTAGATGGACGGTTCCCATAAGTGTTGATTCGGGACTTGAATAATAAGAGAGCTCAATTTTATGATTGGATCATAAAATATATTATTTATTAGAGAATCAATGGTACTTATGGAGAAAGATATAATTAAATAGGTCAAGGAAAAATACCTAGTTTTAATTATGAACCGTTTATGGAGGATTAATTCGTATGTAGTGACTATATCAATGGACAATACAAATTCTGTGAACATAATTATTTTA